TACTACTACTACTACTACTACTACTACTACTACTACTACTACTTTCGGGCTCTCTGGATCTTCCCAGTGAGGTCGGTCACTTTCACAGGCCTGTGAGGTCGGTGAGGATGGGACTCCGAAAAAGTTTACTGGAAAGGTGGTCAGAGTTAATTGTTTGGTCGACCTCCCTTAACCTCTGTAGACCTTCGACCTTCGTGGCAGCCCAAGCATCGAACCCCAAAAACGCGAAAAAGAGCGCTGCAAACGAGATGTGTGGACCGTGAATATATATATATATATAGTTATATACGATTATATATATATATGAATCCGTGTGAGACGATTCTCATGGATCCCGCCCAGTGGCTTTCAGGGTCCATGTTCATCTGAAGAGTCAAAGGCTCGGGTGAAAAAACAAAAGTCACTGCAGCAGCTGTGGAATTGGAGGTTCACCGGTTCACCCCAGCAGCCAAAACAAACAGCACCCCACCTGCGATTTCGGCAAAAAAAACAGGCGCACAATCCCAGCTGGGCCCCACGGCTGGGGTTCGCCTTGGATAACAAATCCACAATGTTGTTGCAGTAGAGCTCCAACATCGATCCAGACACCGTGTAGCTGAAACGATCTGAGCCCTGACAGCCGACAGCGGCGAGAGGATGGGACAACCGGTCTGACGAAGCTCTGCGTTTCAAAGGGTATATTGAAACAGGACCTTAGAGTGGAAGGCGGTCGTAAGCCTGATGGAGAGCGCTTTTCCATCATGTGTCCACCTGATTGTGAACTTCTTACTCTGTTGAGTTTCACACCTTGGTGTTGGGCTGATCTTTGTCCTGTCGTGTTTTGTACGTACAAAAGGACATGACGAGGCCCCGTGGCATTCCCAGTGGCATCACTATTTTAAGGGAAGATAAAGACTGGGGCCTTCGTACAAGCGAGGGTCAAAAAAGAACGAAGTCCTTTCTGTACGAACAGCCAAAACTATATCCACTAGCCACAAAAGTCGAAGAACACAAAAACCATGTCTTTTTCTCTTTGCTTGGTGTCTGGCTCTGGCTCTCTTTGACACACAAATCCCATGAAGGGTGCGAACTAGGCTTGCCAAGTTTATCTATGGAGACTCTCTGGAGTCTGGAGATGCAAAAAATTGTCGAACAAAATTTTCTCCGACTCGCTATCTTTGAAGTGGAAACAACCCTGTCTGTAAAGGAAAGTAGTCTTCCAAGGGACCATTTTCCACTTCCATGTTAGTGAGTCAGAGTGTAAAACAAACAAAAACATCACAACTTCAACAACATCTCGTGATCCTTTCATCCTCTTCACTCGACTGACTTTGGCTTCTTCTCGGCCGCCTGTGCGGTGACGCGGAAGATCTCCTGCGAGTGGAGTCGGTGGACACCGGGTGGAAGGAGTGATGTCTTGGGAAGAGAGGCGGCGGTGCCACCGTTGACCTATTGGTTGTAAACTGGGAGGGATACCTCTCCCCTCTATGAATCATAGTGGTCCAAGGATGACATGCTTGGAGCCGTTGCCGTTGGAACGTTGCTTGAAGCAGTGAACGGTCAATTTGACATCGACCTCGCCACAACATGTAAAATACATACACCATGAGTCTCAAAGGGGTGCCTATTGGGGGATAGGGGTGCCCATTATCCACTCACTCAGGGACTCCTGGTATATGGATAATTCAACCCCCGACATTTCATGCAAAAGGTGATCATTGGTGTGGGAGATTGGCTCACCCAATGGTGCTAGGTATTTCAGAAGACCAAAAACAAGAACTTCTCTATATCAACCACCCTCCTGTCTATCCCCGAAAGAATGCGTCGTGCGATGGTCTCGGATTTCTGCGCCTGAATGGTGCGAGGTGCAGTGCCTTCGTTGCCTTGGCCACCGACGAAGGCGCGTTCGGACGACCATGGAGTGACCACAGGCCCCAGGACGACAGGCGTTGAGAAAGCTTTCTGAAGGTGGACTCTTGATTAATTAGATTGCCCCTCGATCAGTTTGTAAAGCCTCTTCATCAAAGGGTTGACATTCATATAATCAAACTTTAGATATGTTTAAATTAGGTGCACTATATATATATATGGAATGTCCAAGCGTTTGAGAAGGTCGAGGCTGGGCATCCAGAATAAAACCACTGCTGCGACAACTGGCAGTGCTTTAGGAGTTCTGGGTCCCATCACTGTTGGCCCTGAGACCGCGCTTGCGGTGGATCCAAACGTTTGACACAGTACAATCCCATGGGGTGCAAAACATCCAGTGGATCAATGATGCAATGCCCGGATGCAAGAACCATGTATTATCTTCAGTGGATCCCAGGTTTCACGACTGCCCTCGCTTGGTCTAAGTAGAACTGGAACCATGGACTAGCTATGCGCTAGTGGTAACTGGATCCACTGGCAAAGTCTTGTCCATGACAGTCCATGAGAGCTTGCTCGCGAGCTTGTCCATGCACCCTTTTTGATCCAACCTTGGGGTTTTCCTGTTCCAACCCTGGGACAACTTCCAACATCCTTGCTCCTAGTAGCGATGCCAGGAGCCCCTAATAGCGTCTTTGCTCCTAGTAGCAATGCCGGGAGCCCCTAGTAGCGTCCTTCCAACAGGTGATTTTGCCTTTTCCCATCTTTACCCCAAATACGAAGCAAAGAGTTCTCGACTCGAAAACTGCAAGTCCTGCGGTGTGCCTGCATTCGGGTCTGCGGTGAAACCGACACACACACAAAATATAGATTTAGTGCCCAAACGCTCATGGACCCTCATAACGGATCAAAACCCTCATATATTATATGGACGGGTCCGGGGTAGAATCAATCCCTGACCTTTTTGGGGGCCAAGGGCTGTTTGGAGCGTCTGGGTGGTATATAAACAGTGATCTCACACGATATCGTATTTTGATGTATTTTGGGCTGTACCTAAAAGGTTGAACCATCAAGAACAACAGCAAGGAAACCTGACCTGGGCCTTGCCCTTGAAACATCTTGAAACAATAGCTATATCAAAGACCAAATGGCGCAAAAACCATCCGAGGTGGGATATTAGTGTATGATCCTTTTATTCCTCCTATAACCACTCATCCGACCCGGTCTGGTGGTTTCCACAGCAAGACGAAACTGTCTGACCCTGTGGGTGGTCTTATTCGGGCTGAGGTCAACAGTCAACAACTCTAGAGATGTACGCACACCAAAACACCGTGGATGTGTGCAATGCATTTTGCAGCTTCTTCCGCATCATGCCTGCTTGCAGGCAAATGTCATGTCTGCTAAGCAAAGCCATCAAACAATTCGCTGTGGATCGCAAGCGACGCAGAATATCACACAAATACAAAGCTGGACAATGATGCTTGAGGTTACTATTATGCTATTCTACATCTGATGAGTTTGTACACTTAGAACAACTGCACCTTGGGGATCCACTGGCGACATGTGACTGCCAATCGCAGTACCTTCGTCTTCAGCTTTGCTTCTCGGCCCCATAAGCCCTGCTCTCAAGCTCAGGAATGCCGTTTTCGGCACTCCCGGCGCGCTGTCAACGCGTTCAAACGCTTCAAATGCGTTTCCGGGGCGAAGCTGCTTCAGTGCCTGACCCACACTCCTCCCAGTCGGAATTGTTGGTGCATGATTTACCGAGTAAAGTTGGGGACTCTTCACTGATGTTCTTTGTAGAAAAATGTGTGTTCACCAGGCCCTACTCAGAGGCACTGAGTTTGCGAGTTTACACATCTCCTGTTGTTGACAATATCATCGCAAACAATGCAAAAACAAAGTTCTCAAGCCACCTTTGAGAGTTGAGCCGGGCTGGGCATGTTCTGAAAGGCATTGCGGCATGAGTGTCTATCCAAACACTTGCAGTAGTTATCAAACTACTGGATTCTTGCCGATTCTGGCACACTTACAGTAGCTATTAACACTTTCGTTAATTTCCTGGATGACGCAATCAAGCACCCTGCATGATTTTGCCGGACCATGCACCAACCAAACCCGCGGACAAAGGCATGGAAGATGCCGACCTGAAAACCACTAGATCACGAGTCCGACTGGGACATCATGAATTGGGTCCCAAACCAGCGTCTTCATCTGGTTTTTCTTGGCACACATCACAGAGGTGATGTCCGTGTGGTGATTCTTCACTGGCCAACGGGTCATCACACTCATCACCTCACGTCGGGGTGGGCTGCACGGCGGTTCTAGCGATTCCATGTATCACCTCGTTCAGAACCTGTGCTGAATGGAATCATGAAACATTATGAACCATATATGATGCTGTTTGGCATACAAAGGAACTTGGGGCACGCTGTCTTCCTTCTCCGAAGCAACTGTCACACCAGCGATAGGTGAGTGTTGGACACAAACATCACTGCTAAGCGCTCTGTAACCATGACTAATATCAGGGAGTACAACGTGTTTTTAGACTGACTGGTCCTTAGTAGGGAATAAGGGAATGAGCCCCCAATAGAGATTCTATTGGATCCATTCCCTCATTCCCTGCTAAGCACCAGTCAGTACGAGTAGAGATGTTGTGTCTCCCTGGAACCTTCCAAGGATCCACCAACCCCACGAATCTGAAGCTCCGCTTTCCTGGAAGAACGTGGTCTGTGTGACCCCCCCACCCAACGAAACACCTCCAGCTTTCGCTGCTTCCCAAAATCCCAAATCTGGGTGCTCGTACTTGATGTAGACTCTTGATTACCGTAGTTGGATTGAACCACCTCTTCATATGGGAGAGGTGCTGATATGTATCATCAAGGGGTCTACATATAATCTATAATCTTCCTTTTCATGGATCTTCCTGCTCCAGGAATTCTGCGTGATCCTCTGGATATCTCCCGGAAAAAGAAAACAAACAAACTCGTTCTGATCCTTCAGCCCCAGCGGCCGACGTCTCGTTCACCCCGTGTGAGCCCTGCAGCCCCTCGCTGAAGCGGACCCCGGGGCCCCGCCGATCGTCGTAGCGCGGCACCGCCTGCGGTGCGGCCGTCCCAGCCGGTTGAGCGTCCGATCGCTCCGTTCGTAGCGATGCCGTTTGCTCCGTTCGTAGCGTTCTTGTTCCTAGTAAGGCCAGGAGCCCCGTTCGTAGCGTCCTTGCTCCTGGTAGCGATGGCCTCCACCTAGTAGCTTCTTAGTTACTAGTAGTAATGGCCTCCAACCTAAGAACGCGATGGCCTCCAAGATGCCCGGTTTTCCCGGCCAGGGCACAGTGTGAAGTTCCTAATTCCTCTTAATCCATGAAATTCTTGCATGCTATATACCTTGGAAGATTTAGCTTTTTAAAGAGACCCTACAAGACATCCGTTACGGCAACCGTGGTTGGGGTCTGGGACCTGTTTGAGTGCTGCGAGGAGTGGGAGCCATCATTTCGGCTATCTGCAGGTCTTTCTTCTGACAAAAGAGTTGGTCTTTAAAAAGAAAACAAATCGACGGGTCAGAGTTTAAGGTATAGGCTAGGATGGTAACTATAGTATATATAATGTTCACCGTTCATTCTCGTGAGTGTTCGCAAATGAATGCATGCACAATGTACGCCAATTTGTAGCCCTAATGAAAACCAAATAATAGATTTATTGCCAACATCACCTCAGTCAGCGTGTTCATATGTGTTCATATTGTTTAAAAGTTTAACATCTTGCATCCCACAACTAATTAGTCACATAATAGTCCTCCTGGAGTAAATAGAATTTGAACTTGAACCAATCAGCCAGGAGTCGCAAAGGGGTGGTGCCTATAGTCCCTAAGTGAGTGGATATATAATGGGCACCCCTATCCTCCAATAGCCCTTTGTGACTCCTGAAGTGTTGTATTGCTTTTGGATTTCCCGCATTCTATCTGGACTCAAAACAAAAACTATCTGAGTCCCGGATGACTCAAAACATATCCAAACGATGTCTTAAACCAAAAACAAAAGCACACACACTCCGCCACCACCAACAACAGCGCTTGTGACCGACGCGCGCCCGACCGATCTCCGATCTCGCCCCAAGCGTCGATTCGCATTCCGCCTTCCATGAATCATAGTTCGTCTGAAAACGAAACCACCCTGGCTGCCTGCAGCGGTTAGACTTCGAGTTTCGTTTCGTTTTCGGGGTGGTTCTTCTCGCCATTTTGGGATACTTTTGGGGTGTGATTTGACCATTTGACGATCTATTGATGGTGGCCAATCTGCGCGGTGAGTTGGGATGAGGTGTTTTTTCCCGTTGTTTTGTCCCATGTGTCTTTGTTCTGGGTCCGCCCAGCGATGCCCGCCCTTCTGCCGGTTTTGGTTCTGCCCCAAAACCGGCAGACTCCGGGTGATTTCATCTTCAGACTCTGTCAATCTGGTCTGGTTCCCAACCCACATCGGTGCTGAGGTTTCGGTGCCTTTCCTCGCCTTTCGCTGACTCGCCGGCGAGTTCCATCAAAACCGGTTTACGGTCTACTTTCCCTCCATGGGACTGGCATATTCACCAATCACTTGGGATGGTTTGAGCGGTCAATGTAGGCAGAATATTCTAGTCCCATGGAGTGTTTGGCAAATGAACTCTACGAGTTTCGTTGATGAACACCCAGCATTCAAGACAGAATGCCCCCTTTCCAATGCCCACCACCCTTCAATGCTTGTGGCGTCCGCAATCCAGAGTGGGACTTGGTTCATAAAGGCCTCACCAACAGCTTTCGTAATTCCAATCGACTTGGCGAGATCTCGACTGCCGGGGCACTCATTGAGGTGCTTGGAGTCCTTGGGGTTGTCTTCGTGCAGTGCCCAGGTGGTGGAGTGTTGTCGATCACGTGTCACGATGGCTCCCTAGCAGCAAGCTGCGGTGTGGACAAGGAACACCACCAAAGGAGCCAAAGGGAGAAGGGAAGTTGAAGATGGCCAGAAAGATGTGGCACACTAAGGATGATAGCTGGGTTATGGCTTGGGTGGTGGACTGGTGACAAAAATGAAGATGGATGAAGGTCCAAATGACCTTGTCACCCAGTGGCTTGTGTCTTGTGTTAAAACATTCGCCATGGATTAGTGAGGACCACCCTGTGGAACGCTCACCTGTTTGCCCTCATTGCCATCTTCGTTGAAATACACTTACTAGGCTGGCACACCCGAAATCATCATGCAAGGCACGACCTGGCTGAGCCCTCCAAGACTCCGACCCTCCAAGACTCTAGCAGAATCAGTTCCAATTGGCCCTGTAAACTGTCCGAACAGAACTAAACATCGAATCACCATCGACATAAATCGACATAATCTCAAATAAAGAACCATACCATTTTTAGACCATTGTTTGCTTTCAATCCTTTTTTCCCATGGTCCATGGTCATTCTGAAAGCATCTCATTCTCATCCCCTTCCTTTCGCTCGCGGGAGGAACCTCACCCATCTGAGCACCCGAGAGGATGAAATACACCGGGTTCGCCAAGCGCTCGTCTTCCAAGAATCGCCTCCAGTTCGCGCCGCGAGCGAGGTGATGCGAGGTGCGGGCGGTTGGAGCGGTCGACCAAGTCCATCCCTCGTACCTGTCTTGACATCCATTGACCCCTATTTACCACCCCAATGTAGTGGGTAGTCCCATGATGCCAGTCCCATTGTGTCTGGTCTGGGCATTGGACTCAAGTCCTGGACATCTTGACCAAGTCCGCTGACACGGTTCATGAACGAAAAACCTCAAGATGTCTCATGGTGATGTCTCCCCCTTGGTGCCATGGACCGTCTGCAACTAAGAACCTCAGAGAGACATCTTGCCAGCACCATGGAAAGGGTGGTTGATATAGACACCCCTGATTGAGTTTCACTCTAATAATCTCCCTTTCACTCAGTGCTGGTACACGTTTGCTTCTTTGTTGCTTTGACGTGATCCTTTCGCCCTCCGACCTTCGCCGACGTTCGCTTTCTTTTCGCGCGCCTCGCAGCGCTATAGTCGTTGGGCGTCTCCAGCGCTTTCCGGATCACGTGTGTGGGGGTCTTGCCACCCAGGAGAAGCTCCTGAAGTCCGTCGGCTTCGAAAGCTTCGGAGCGACGGGGGCGGCTGACTTGGAGTTCATCGAGGGGAGGTCCATCGAGGGGATGGATCGGCCCGCCAGGTTCGTTCGTCTATGGTTCGTCTGGGGAAAGTCAATAAACATAGGCTAACCTATTGACTAACCTATCGATTGAGTGAGACATCTGAGAGATGTCTCAAGCCATTTCCAGGAATGTCCTCAGCTGTATACAGACTTACCCAAAGAAGCGATGCGTAGTTTATTGACTTGATGTTTGTGTATCTTTCTTTCGACCATATGGCTGCATGACGCGTTAAGAAAAAAAATATGTCTTTTTGTTGGTTGTTTCTCTTTCTTTCTAACCTTCAAAATGGAGCAATCCTGCCTGCCATCCACTGACATGGCAAACCAAGCCAGCGCGATCTATACGGATCTATACGACATATATCCCTCGCGGTTCAGAGAAAAGGGTGAGTACTCTGAACACCAAGAGAAGCTGAACCTGTCTGGCTGATGTGATGGAAGAATTTGGTTTCTTCCCTCCTCCTGATCATGAGCAGTTCTTCTGATTTGATCATCCCTAGCTCCAGCTACCACTATTCCCTTATAGAAAAAGAACGCTCGAATATGCTGTGGGGACAAAAGACAAGATGGAGCCCACGAACCCGAATGCAAACACGATGGAAAAGCTACATATGTCCAAATGACACTCTTGTAGGACACTCTTGTGGGACACTCTTGTGGGTCACTCTTGTAGGAAACTCTTGTGGGACACTCTTGTGGGACAATTCTGTGGGACACTCATTTGGGACACTCTTGCGGGACACTCTTGTGGGACACTCTTGTGGGACACTCTTGTGGGACACTCTTGTGGGACACTCTTGTAGGACACTCTTGTAGGACACTCTTGTGGGACACTCTTATAGGACACTCTTGTAGGAAACTCTTGTGGGACACTCTTGTAGGGCACCCTTGTGGGACACTCTTGTGGGACACTCTTATAGGACACTCTTGTGGGACACTCTTAACTCTTGTGAGACACTCTTGTGGGACACGGTTGCGGGACACTCTTGTGGGACACTCTTGTGAGACACTCTTACGGGACACTCTTGTAGGACACTCTTGTGGGACACTCTTGTAGGACACTCTTGTGGGACACGGTTGCGGGACACTCTTGTTGCACATTCTTGTAGGACACTCTTGTGGGTCACTCTTATGGGACACTCTTGTCGGACACTCTTGTGGGACACACTTGTGGGAGACTCTTGTGGGACACTCATACGGGACACTCTTGTGGGACACTCTTGTAGGACACTCTTGTGGGACATGCGGGACACTCTTGTGGGACACTCTTGTGGGGCACTCATACGGGACACTCTTGTGGGACACTCTTGTGGGACACTCTTGTAGGAGACTCTTGTGGGACACTCTTGTGGGACACTCTTGTGGGACACTCTTGTGGGACACTCTTGT